TACCCAGCAGTAAAGTAAGTAATTCAAACTAGCTGCACCTTTACCAGCTTTGATATACACATCAATGATTATAATTACAACATTTAATATATATGATTGTGAAATGGACCGATCTGCATGACTACTTTTACTTTTGATACTTTAAGTATATTTAGATGACATAACTTAATACTTTAACTTGAGTAACATTTAGAATGCAGGACTTTTACGTGTAATGGAGTATTCCTACACTCTGGTACTTCTACTTTTACTGAAGCACCACATCTCAGTACCTCTCCCACCTCTAACTTTGAGGGCATTCACATACACTTAAACTGCTAGGGTCACAATGCAAAGGATATGAAAACTAGTGTTCTTGAAGCCTGAAAACTGAAGGTCTCAGAGACCTCCTCTCGTTCTCACACACTCTTCCTCTTCCTCACCCTTTAAAGCGTTCTCTCTCTCCCCCATCTCCCTCTTTCCTTTCCTCATTTTAATTTTTGCTAAACTCTGTCTCTGGGGAGTGGGAAAATGAGCAGAACAAAGCATGTGGGGGTTTGAGGATCATTTGGAACTGGGAGACAGAGTCTTTGTGGAGCAGCCAGCTGGACATATAAAGAGATGGGGGCGGGCGAGAGGGAGAAAAGGGGGAGCAAAGCAAGGGCAAAGAGGAGTGAGCAGAAAGCTCCTCTCCTCCTCTCCTCCTCTCCTCCTCTCCTCCTCTCCTCCTCTCCTCCTCTCCTCTTCTCCTGCATTCAGATGCATTCAAGCAGAACTCCTGCTTGCTGTTCACATCCTCAGGCATCTCCCCCTGTCTGTGATATGGATACCCTCACCGCCCCACCAAGCTCCCAAAACACTGAATATCCATAGAGACTCCGGGCAAAGCTGATGCATTTATCCCAAAAGAATGTGTTTCAGTTCAGTCTGTTTAATCAAGCAAAGGGCAATGTTTGCAATCCTTTCAAAACATTTGGAAAATAAAACTTCACGAGTGCTCCTTGGGTTAAAACTTAAAGTGAAGGAGTTCATTTTAAATCCTTATTAGAATGGATTAAGTAAAGGTTTACAGCCAGCAAGTGGATGTTTGGCAGCCCTGCAGCCACAGGCTCACTGGCTGGGGGTCTGGCTGTGAAAGGCTCTCTGATGGAATGGGGAAATGAACCGGGGCCTCGTCGCCCCAGCAACAAACTATGCCGTTTGAGGGCCAAGAGTTTTTTCTCAGCGCTGCCTGGTCGCCTCTATTATGCACTTTTGTGTAAAGCCGGGGCATGCTATCATTGCAACACACACCGGGGGGGGCACAATCCTTAATCTGAGCTCCTGGTGTTGCCTTGGCCTTCCCCCCCCCCCCGCCTCCCTCAGGAGAGCACTCTGCAGCTCTGTCTCTCGGTTGGACAGTGATTGGAGAGGAGAGGTCAGGTCACTCACCAGCAGCCCTCTGCTGCTCCGACATGACTCCCCATCGAGGGCCAGGCTCGGCCCACTGGGGGGGGGGGGGGCTCATTCTGACAGAGTTGAAGACATGATTGAATATCAGGCAGGCTTAGGAAAGGAATAGCTACACTGATCAAAGAAGATGTTGAACATGGGTGGCCGGAGAGATCCACAGAGCATGCTGCGATCCTATTGGCTCCAACCAGCCCGCGTTTTAATATTTTAGGTTTTGGATAAACCTTAAAGTACATTTTGGCACAGGAGAGCAACACCAACAATATGACATTATGCTCATAAACCATTTGATGAAGAGTTAATAGCTTTCTATCGGGGGGTTACCTTGGTTGCTGATTGGCTAATGGTTACACAAGCCAAAACATTGTTATGACATCATAGAGTAGCCAACATCTGATCAGCTCATTTTCAGACAGGTTGTTATATAAATGGATCAGGACAAAAAGAGAGAGAATCTTTGTTCCTGAAGCTTTCAGAGTCTCTTTCCACAGAGGGGACACATGATGATGTAGAAGAGACATGAAGAAGAGGGGACACATGATGATGTAGAAGAGACATGAAGAAGAGGGGACACATGATGATGTAGAAGAGACATGAAGAAGAGGGGACACATGATGATGTAGAAGAGACATGAAGAAGAGGGGACACATGTTGATGTAGAGGAGACATGAAGAAGAGGGGACACATGTTGATGAAGAAGAGACATGAAGAAGAGGGGACACATGTTGATGTAGAGGAGACATGAAGAAGAGGGGACACATGTTGATGTAGAAGAGACATGAAGAAGAGGGGACACATGTTGATGTAGAAGAGACATGAAGAAGAGGGGACACATGTTGATGTAGAAGAGACATGAAGAAGAGGGGACACATGTTGATGTAGAAGAGACATGAAGAAGAGGGGACACATGTTGGTGTAGAAGAGACATGAAGAAGAGGGGACACATGTTGATGTAGAAGAGACATGAAGAAGAGGGGACACATGTTGATGTTGAAGAGACATGAAGAAGAGGGGACACATGTTGATGTAGAAGAGACATGAAGAAGAGGGGACACATGTTGATGTAGAAGAGACATGAAGAAGAGGGGACACATGTTGATGTAGAAGAGACATGAAGAAGAGGGGACACATGTTGATGTAGAAGAGACATGAAGAAGAGGGGACACATGTTGATGTAGAAGAGACATGAAGAAGAGGGGACACATGTTGATGTGGAAGAGACATGAAGAAGAGGGGACACATGTTGATGTAGAAGAGACATGAAGAAGAGGGGACACATGTTGATGTGGAAGAGACATGAAGAAGAGGGGACACATGTTGATGTGGAAGAGACATGTGTCCCCTCTGTGTAAAGAGAGAGTCTCTTTACACAGAGGGGACACATGTTGATGTAGAAGAGACATACAAAAGTGGATTTTGCATAATAGGTCCCCTTTAAAAGGTCTGTTGCAGACCGACTGCAGTTAAGAATGAATAAGTTGCATTTCAAATCATCAGCTCTGTTAGACCCATTTATTTGATATGGTGAAAATAAATTCATAAATGAATTGGATGCTGTTCAGTCCATATTTATAACTGATCAAGGAACTGTTTCAAATCATTCCTGTGCAAAGAAACAAGATTCCGTTTCAGTTAACAGCTTGTGTTAATGTCTGAGGTAACGCAGAAACACATTGTTTGTTTTATTTCTCTCATGTGATTTACGTATACACTTAAGCTGTAAACCCTTAAACTAGGAGGACTTAAGTTTGGGCTCCAGTTTCGGTTTAAGCTCATTTAAGTTACTATAAATGATTGGTACACTTTGTTGATGTTACCACTAACAGGTTGAAGTGTTGGAATTTAAAGTGTGTTTTACTAAATTTTAGTAAAGACGATTATATCACTTATCTTCCCTTATTGATTTTTTTTTATTGTTGATAAAGTGTGTTTTGTTTGACTCCAAAACAATCTATTGAAACAAAAGAAGACATGTTGCCAAACTGTAACCATGGTGATATGCAAGTATCACATGTAATGAGACCTTCAAAAGAGCCCTGTATTTATATTGTGATCTGCACTCCTTTTTTAACCTTTTGATGTTAACTATGGGGAACTGTTGCAGCTGCCTACAGAAATACACTTTTTTATAATCAGTCTTGCACTGAAAAAAGTGATCAGTTGACTTAAATGTGTTATGTCAAGAGATTCCACATCATCTTTTTTAGGTTGGTTTAGCAGTAATATTACGTTTAAATAAAAATATATTAGGTTCAACTTTATATTATTGCTTTCAACTAACCAATTAAATGATGTGTAATCTGTTGACATAATACATTTACACTTAATTAAAGTCAACGTTTCAGTTTTTTCAGTGTGTAAAGGTATTCTTAATTTCCAGAATGTTATTTCACATCCTCAGTGAAAATGTTTGTTTGGTTTTTGATTACAGGCTGATAAATGGCCGTCTAAGTCAGAGTGTAATCTCAGTGCACTCTGTGTTTGGAGAATGAAGCAGAACATTGGGACAGGTTGTCCTGGGGTTCTGTGTTCTCGTTCTGGGCGAGCCAAGATGATGTATGAGCTCATACTGTGCAGACAGGCAGCTACAAATTTGCTTGGCGAGTTGACTGGTGGGCGGCTGGGTAGTGAGTGTGTGTGGGGGGGCTTGAGTTGTCACATTAAAGCAACGCAGTCAAAGAAAGAGAAGCCTTTGTACCCATTTTGTCTTTTTTGAGGCAAAAAAAACATTCCTCTGTTGGAATAATTAACATCTGAGCATGTGAACGAAAAGTTTGACTTCGCGCAACAACGAGAAATGTCCGATTTCTCGAAAATGAAAATACTTTCTACACATGGTGCTTTTCAACCCCTGTGTGTTGATTGGGTCAAATTGACCCGTTTTTACAAAATATTATACAAGAATAATTTAATCCTGAAACTTCATGGCCTTTTCTCTGTACAGAAAATGTAAAAAACAAATATTAATAAGCATGCTACACATTAAGTAAGGGATAATGTGCAGCGACGCGGTCATTATGGGTAAAAGAACACCGACAGGCAGATCAGGAGCCCGACGCGAAGCTCCTGATCTGCCTGTCGGTGTTCTTTTACCCATAATGACCGCGTCGCTGCACATTATCCCTTACTTATTACTGGACGAATGACGCTTCCATTGTTAAATGTGGTCTAGCAGAGAGTATTTGCAAACAATACTAATATATCTTATTTGTATTGTTCGGAATTGAAATACAGACAAAACATGTTATGGATTGGGTTTGTCATTTTTCTAATTTCTGTATTGCTTTTAAAAGCCCAATAAAGTCCCATGTTATCACCCGAACAGAACTAAAGGGTCCAAAAGGTGAACATCATATCAGGGTTCAAATAATGTTTCCTTATTTAGCGAGGGATCAAAGCAGAGGTTTATTATTGAACGAATGCAATGTTCAATCAAAAACAGATCTTCTGCATTTTGATCATTACATAGACATTTGATTAATGGCAGTGATGTGACTAGGGAGAACAGGCCCCTCTGTGTTACCTCCCCTTTATTTCAACCTCATCTCTCCCCCCCCCCCCCCCCTCCTCAGACTGAGCCTTGTTGTCGCCCCTCTTTATCCCATGCAGAATGAATGGCACAGATGTTGTTGGACAAGACAGTACCCCTCGGTCCCCTTTCCCTCACTCCTCGCTCAGCATGAGGTCTGGAACTTGTTTTTTGATCATTGTTTCCCCCCCACCTTCTCCCTCCGCGGGAGGAAAAAAAGAGCCAAAGAGGAGGGAGATGGAGAGACTAGGAGCAGCCAAATTAGAGAGGGAGGGTGAGGAGCACACAGCCATGATTCAGGAATATGAAGAAAACAGTGTTTCATATCTCCAGATAACAAGTGTGTGTAGGTCAGGTCACACGCTGGATGCTAGCGGTCCAGGAGTTCAGAGTTCCAGTATGGACGGTTCAGTGGAGCTGCAGTAGGGTTCTGGTCCTGCAGACAGGAAGTGAGGACTGAAGATGCGGGTTGGTGCGTGGCTCTTCCTGGTGTCCTGGATCTACACCTGCTCAGAGTCCTCTCACAGGTGCATGGGCCAAGACTTGTGTCCATCCGAGTCGGGACAGGACAGAGGGTCAAAGAGCCGGGTCAGGGAGCACGCTGGTCCCGGGGCGGGACACCAGCACCCCCCCCACAGGAGCCGGCCACACCGCAGGAAAGGTGAGCCAATCACTGGACTTTAGACTGGAGACATTCTGATGCTAGCTGTGGAGATATAGTGTTGTTTTGCATGGCTGTGCATTGAAGTGAAAATCATCAGCTAAAATCAGCTGACACATTTTGTAATTTTAACATTTTAGAATTGGTCTTGAAATATAACATCCTCATCATTAAGTGTTGCATGCCACAGGTCTTAACAAAATAAAAAAAACAATGCCTTTTTCCCCCTTGAAAACATTTATTTATATTTTCCCCTTTTTTGATGTGATCCAAGATGCAGAAAAGTATTGAAATAGTCTGCACTCTGTCACAAACTGAGAATTGGATGATACATGTCAGATGGTTTATGAACACACAGCCATTCACATAGAAACACATGTCAAAATGCTAGACCCCTGAGGGGTAAAACAGTCAGTTAAACAGACTTTGAATGTATTGATGTGATTTGACATGTGGGAGGGGGAGTGCTGTGTAAAAGGGACTGTCACACTTCATCACAGAACATATACTCATTGTGTAAACTATATTTTAGTCCTAAGATCCTGAACAGAGCTAATGCGCCAACACATTTCTTCAAAACGTCATCCCTTAAAAATCCTCTACAAGCTAATATGATATAAGTAGGAAAGGTGAGGAAGTATCATCAGGAGATTTCTGAGCTGTTGTAAAGAGATAACCCTACATGAGGGTTCAAGTATATACAGTATTTTACGACATATATAAATTGTGTAATAGATTTAATAATTTGTCCAAATATTTAAATGTAATTTTGGTTTTGATGCCATAGTGTAAATATCTGCTTTAAGCTGCTATGGGAGACATAAACATGCTCTGTGTGTTAACTACTCCTTTATATCACATTCATTTCAAATGACAATGCAACCCTGAACTCTGTTCCATAGATGTGATCCATTGCACAGATGAAGATTCAACTCATTGATCAAAATGTTGAAATGTAAAAGTAATGGAATGGGTGTCTGAAAAAAGAGTATTGCACACATAAGGATAAACATTCAGCTCAGTCTTTACTTATTTAAATTATCTAGAGTTAATAAGAAAAGCGTTTTTGTTTAAACTAGCTTAAAGCGGTCATTCATGTTGACAGCAATTGTTGATTCCTTCACAAACACACTTGAATTACACTCTGAATTTACTCTGAAGTCACTTTTGATCACATTCCTCTATGTAGCTGACACTTTCTTTCTTCTCCTCGCTCCATCCCGCCCTCCACGCCCGCTCCAATCCTCCTCCTGACCTTTGGTCCACAGTCTGAAAGGGGCTCCTTCCCTCGGTGCTTCTGTGCTCAGCACCATTCCCAGGGGCTGTGTTGAGCCGGGACTCATCCTTCATCCTCTCTAAAGCTTTTGTTGCACACTGAAAGCTGGCCGATGCCGGGGCCATCAAACCCGAGTTGTTGGATCAATATAAACATCCATCACTTAGCCCAGGCCTTTCTGAGCCGCACAATGAACAGCTCACTAAACAATACTTCACTTATGTGAGTCTTTGGAAGGAATGAACTAGCGGTGCTTCACTTATTTCTGGGTTGCACTTGTTTTACTGCGAAATAACTTGAAAGTAACTCAGTTTTCTGTCCTTCCCAGAGTTACAGTAAATGTCAGCAAAGTTACCATAAAAACATTACTTTTTTTATTTTAACAGTAAGTATAACACCTCTACTTCCTTTCTGAATTGCATTGTGGGGACAAAAGTATACACACACAATCTAGTATTTTTTGAGTATAGGCCTACCCATTTTACACTGTAAACATACATGATGACTGTTTTAGTTAAGTCCAGAATATATTTGTAATTGAGACACAAAGTCAGTATTTGAAGTTCTGGTTAATTCCGTTACAGAGATTTCCAGAACCACTATGACCGGCCTGCATTCAACTGAGATACTTTGGGGACTCATTTCATGCAGGAGAGATAGTTTCCTTCCATTGTTCATAGACTTGGGAGACTGTGTACTTCCTGTTTCCTAGCAGTTTGGACAGACTCAAAATAAAAAACAACAATGGAATGTGGCTCGTGTTTAGACAGAAGAAAGTGGATTAATCCATTAAAGCAATTCGTTTTTTATTTGATATCCGTGAAAAGCACAACAAAATATTTGACGCACACTCACTTATGCTGCATTCTGAGCAACATTATCATTACAGTTTCAAGTGAGGAACAGTCATCTGGGTCAGAGACAGTTATATTCACTTTCATTAAATCAAATATTATGTATATCCCCAAAAACATTTAAAATAGAAGATGTTTGTACAGATCTAACAACAGATAGATGGATGAGTGGATAATACAGTGATCTACATGGCGGCGGAATAGCATCATGGGTTTTATTTTGAAAACCCTCTGACCGGAAGCTGCAGTCGGTGCAGTCGCAGTATGAAACGAAGTTGACGCTGATATTCATTATAGGGCGCTCATTTACAAGTATAGTTGGGAGTTTAATTTACATATTTGTAAAGTTAAAAACAACGGAAAATATGGATTTGTTGATTTAAATGGACTTCCGGTTACTCGGCAGTTACAGATATTAATAAAGTGATCTGTGACTTCGCTCCTCATGATGACCTCAGCTGTTCTCATGAGAGTTTTGGCAGCAGTTTTCGCACTCATTCAGTCAGGTACGTGACTTTGAGTTTTGGGATCATTCACGTGTTTATTAGTTTAAAACAGTGTGACAGATCCTACAGAATAAAAGCCTTTCACTGGGTTTACAATGTGCTGTTAACCGTGGAGATTCTGATGGTCCTTCATCATTAGGGAACAATTGTAAACACACTTATTCTTATCTATCCAATTATAAACACTGTAAGAAGAACTCATAGAATCGTAGAAGGTGTCACACTGATTGCAAATACAGTTACATCTAAATTAGTTTTTCAATGTGTAATTTGCCCAAAAAATTAAAACGTGGGTCAACTTGAAAGCCATTCAAACACTTATAATTAAACACACTCACAGTGTCTCTACAAACTGTCCAGTTAAAACATTGCGATGATTCCCTGAGCCCAAATTGAGAGATCATGTTAAAAAAAGCTAAAAGGAGTGCACTAAGCCTTATTAAAAAAGTATGGCTCATGTTTGGCTGAATCTTCTTTACTTTCAAATCCACAGAGCGGGGGTGAACAGGCTGTTTTTAGCTTCCATTTGAAGATATTCCGGCTATAGTGAATACATGAGAAAACTAAAGAAATACAAAAAAAATTGTGTTAATTGTCCTCACACATTTAAAGCAATATTTGGCCATATTAGGATTATATCCAAGGTGTGAAGGAATGCATTTCCTCAGATGATTCTGTTTCCACATCTCTCTCCAGACTTTGGTTGTTTTTTCTGATCTTTCTGACCCTCCTTTATTTGGTAAGAATATGGCTGGTTGTTAATAACACACTCACAATGCAACAAGTAGTTTAAGATTTAATGAACATTTATTTGTTGTTGAGACAGGAAGCAGCTTCTGCAAAGGTTCCACCACTTCTCCCAAACCTCAGTACATTTCACATGAAGTGACGGAAGGCTCATAATAAAATGTATTTTTGTTTGGAGAAGTAGACAGTACATTTGCACTCAGAGTGTCTTTGTTCTGGTGCGGATATTGATGGGGGGGGGGGGGGGGGGGGGGTTGATGTTCCTGAGAGCTGCAGCTTCCTCTCCTGTGAGGAAGCTGATCTCCCTGCTTCCTTCAGAGTGTCATAGGAAGCTCACACAATGGCATTCCTCTGCTGTGCTGCAGACAGAGCTTGTTTGTTAGTATCCAGGGTTAACATGTTTGTGGGGGGTGTTCTGCTGCCAGTGAAAGGAGCTCAGAGGTGATGAATAGTGCAGTGCTGCAGGGTGTGGCTCCTCTGTAGGGCAGCACAGTTCCTTGTAATGTTATTGAAATCACAATATGGACATATCAGCCAAAAATAAGCCTTATTTGTTTTCACATCGTGCAGCCTTAATGTCTACACAAAAAAGAATAACATTCACATTTCATTTCTGGGGGCTGTGTTGTCTGGAACCTTGTGTTCCTGGTAGGGTCTCCCATGGCAAATTGGTCTCAGGCAAGGGGCCAGACTAAGATTGGTTCGAAGACCTCATGAAAGACGAACTAAGAAGTGAGGATACCCGGCCCGGAGGAAGCCCGGGGTCCCCTTCTGGAGCCAGGCCCAGAAGGAGGACTCGTCGGCGAGCGTCTGGTGGCCGGGCTTGCCACTGTAACACCATGCACTATAAACTGTTTACTATTATTTGCTTCTACTTTTAAATGTTCACTTACTTTTATAATGCAGCTACTTATCTTTTCTACCTCGGAGGTGTACTAATTAGATTTTTTGTTTATTAATGTTTTTATTAACTATTATTTATACATGTTATTTATAATTAATTACTGCTTGCCTCTTCATTTGATATGTTAATGAAGTCCTTTATTTCGTCTATTTGCACCGTGCTGTAACATTGTACTTTTCCTCTTGGATAAATTAAGCATTTCTGATTCTGATTCTGTGTCATCCTCAGGTTCCAGAGTTCACTCGCAGGAGTCGCCCCCCCGCATCGTGCACCACCCCTCTGACGTAGTGGTGAAGGTGGGCTACCCCGCCACGCTGTCCTGCAGGGTGGATGGAAGCCCCCCGCCCTCAATCCAGTGGCTGAGGAACGGCCAGCCTCTGGACCTGTCTACGGGGGAGGGGGGGGTGCAGCCCATCATGCTGTTGGAGGGGAGCCTGTTCTTCCTCAGCGTGAGAGGGGGGGGCCGGCGGGCTCAGTCTCATGAGGGCATCTACACCTGCGTGGCCAGGAGCAGCGCCGGGGAGGCCCTCAGCCGCAACGCATCGCTGTACATCGCAGGTAAGACCGGGGTGGGGGAGGGGGTCAAATGAACTTCTGACAGTACATTCATCAAGATGGGGTCTGAAGAGTCTCATGTTTTAATTATTAAAGTTAATACATGGCTTCACATAATGTTGAGAAACAAGCAGTAAGAATGATGTGAATTATGTTTGATTAGACTAGTTAGCAAGTTGTGTTTCTAATGTGCCACAAACATCGTCTCCCTGAGCCTCTGAACCAATGATTCTGGTTGTGCTGTAAAACATATCTGAAAGGCTTTTATATCTGAAATACAGTTAAAAAGTCAGTTAATCTGCCTGCTCTAAACACAACTGAAAAGTTGACTCTAATTAAATGTATTATGTCAACAGATTTCACATAACTGTATTAAAGTCAAAGTTTCAGGTTTTTCTGGGGTGTCATCCATTTATTAAACAGACCAACTTTTCTAAAACACAAGGAGCAACCTTCTCTGAACATTTCGCATTCTACACCGTAAACAATTACACAAATCAAATAATTGATTGAATGTCCATGCAAGATATTCCAGTGAACAATCTAGCTACTGTTAAGGCTTTTTCACCTGTCTGCCCTCAGGTCAGATCTTATCCGATGAACTGAACAGCTGTCTGGTCCAGTGGGCTTGTTGAGGGTAACAGTTTCCGCCCATTTGGAGTAGATTAAGAATGCATTATGCAGAATGTATTGTAGTCCGTAGTGACTTCAGTGTCATGGTCTAGATTTTTGTGCCTCAGATAACGTGTCCTGATCTGTGAATAAAAAACACCCTTTAGTGTTTCCATGCTCTTATTTGTCCCTTTAGTGACAGATTTAACCCAGGGTAGCTAATCTTTAAGAGCTTTTTTCTATGTTAGATGGGGGATTCATGTTGGAGACAGGTGAACTTAGCCAGGGGTTGTTTTGTGATTGCTGTGTATGCACTTTTCACATTTTCGCAACAATTTATGCATAGCTGGGAAAGTGGTGTCTGAGGTGCGTTGCAAACATTCTACTACACAGTCACGCCACAGCAGTTCAGTATCCACGGTGCGTGGTTGTACTGCATCCTTTGGGACAGATTTTCAATGGATCATCCCTGGACATCTGCAATTTAGCAAGGGACAGATACAGCTCTTATTACATTACATTACATCTTACTTGTTAGACGCTTTTATCCAAAGTGACTTACATACTCAATACTGTGGGCAATCCCCACAGGAGCAATTTGGGGTGAAGTGTCTTGCCCAGGGACACAACGACATGCTGACTGCAGTGGGGTTTGAACCTGTGCTCCCCTGATCCGAACACCAACGCACTAGTCCACTGCGCCACACACCTCTTATGTGAACTGTAATGATTTGTTCATTCAATAATGAGGTGTAGTAGTTTCATAAGTAACAGGAAGTCTGCACAGGATCATTATTTCCATGAAAAGGGGTAAAAGAGACCCGTCCCTTTTTTTTATCACTGATGCTTGTATCAATCAATGTTTATTTATATAGCCCAATATCACAAATGTTACATTTGTCTCAGTGGACTTCACAGTTTGTACAGACTATCAGTATGACAATACGACACCCTCTGTCCTTAGACCCTCACATTGTACAAGGAAAAACGTACAGAGAAAAACCCACAGTTTAAAGGAACATGGGAGAAACCTCAGGGAGAGCAACAGAGGAGGGATCCCTCTCCCAGGACGGACACACGTGCAATAGATGCTGTGTGTAAATCGAAGAGATAATACATTTACAACATAGGTAGTCCAAATGTTTGGAAATGCATGTGTCTATAATAAGAAGATGAATCCACGAGGATGTCAACAATCCTGTGGGAGCCATCAGAGAAGTAGTATGATGAGAGTCAGGCAGGACCACAGTGATAGGTTCAGCCACGACTCGAAGTCCAGGACTCAAATCCAGAACTCAGGATAGAGGATCCAGGACACAGGATCCAGGTCTCAGGACTAAGGATCCAGGACTCACGATACAGGACTGCGGATCCAGGACTCAGGATACAAATCAAATCAAATCAAATCAAATCAAGTTTTATTTATATAGCACATTTATAAACGATTTTTGGTCGAGCCAAAGTGCTGTATATAATAAAAATACTCTACAGTAAAGACATTTTACAGCAAATACAACAGCACAGTTTGTTCAGAATATCAGTATGAGAAATCGACACCCTCTGTCCTTAGACCCTCACATCGTACAAGGAAAAACTTCCGGAGAAAAACCCACAGTTTAAAGGGAAAAATGGGAGAAACCTCGGATACAGGATCCAGGACACATGATTCAGGATCCAGGACACAGGACCGCAGCAACAGGACCAGCCACGACTCAGGATCCCGGCGTAGATAGACACCAAAAAGAAATTTGGGGGAAGCTGGGTTATTGGGAACATGAGAGTACACAGGTACAGACAGACAGAAGGAAGAAGTAAGGTGTCCCCCGACAGTCTAAGCCTATAGCAGCAAAGCTAACGTGTCTACGTACATGGACTCCCTTAGGATAGGGTGAGGGAAAGGGGTAGCAAGTAAGAAATAAGGAACAGAGGTGGAGAGGCACAACATGTCTACGTACATACATGCACTCCCTTAGGATAGGTTGAGGGAAAGGGGTAGCAAGTAAGAAGTAAGGAACAGAGGTGGAGAGGCACAACATGTCTACGTACGTACATGCACTCCCTTAGGATAGGTTGAGGGAAAGGGGTAGCAAGTAAGAAGTAAGGAACAGAGGTGGAGAGGCACAACATGTCTACGTACATACATGCACTCCCTTAGGATAGGGTGAGGGAAAAGAGTAGGAACTAAGATGTGTGCGCCACATCTATACCATGAGCGCATTGCTCCTAAAAAGTTGTTTTGGCACTGACACCAATCAACAGTTGTGCGTCGACTCGGCAGGGATCAAGACACGTATATGCCTCTCCCTGCTTCCACCGTCTACACACAACCAAATTACATACCATCAGTAAGGAAAAAGAGTAAGAACTAAGATGTATAGGTGAAGAGGCACAACGTGTCTACGTCAATTCACTCTTATTAGATTATTTTATCAACTATACGCTTTATCAAAAAGGAAGGTCTTAAGCGTACTCTTAAAAACGGATAGGCTGTCTGCCGCCCGAACACAAACTGGAAGCTAATTCCACAAAAGTGGAGCTTGATAAGAAAAGGCTCTGGCTCCCATTGTACTTTTAGAGACTCTAGGAACAACCAACAACCGTGCATTCTTGGAACGCAATGCCCTAGTTGGACAGTAGGGTATAATGAGTTCTTTAAGGTAAGATGGTGCCTGCCCATTAAGGGCTTTGTAGGCGAGAAGAAGAATTTTAAATTCTATCCTGTGTTCTATAGGGAGCCAGTGTAAGGCAGCCAGAACAGGAGTAATGTGGTCCCTTTTCCGAACTCTGGTTAGTACACGTGCTGCAGCATTTTGAATCAGCTGAAGCGACTTAACTGACTTCTTGGTACACCCTGATAATAAAGAGTTACAATAATCCAGCCTTGAAGTAACAAATGCATGGACTAGTTTCTCTGCATCGTTTTGAGGCAAGATATGCCTGATTTTTGAAAGAAGGCGGTCCTTGAGATTGATTTTATGTGGGCGTTAAAAGATAAATCCTGATAAAATATAACACCAAGATTCCTTACAGTCTCACTGGAGGCCAAATTAATGCCATCCATAGTTAGTATATCTTTAGATAGTTTGTTTCGTAGATTCTTTGGGCCGAGTACAATAACTTTTGGCTGTGTTTAACATCAAAAAGTTTAAGTCATCCACGTTTTTAAGTCCTTGAGGCAGTCTTGAATTTTATTTAGATGATTGGTTTCATCAGGCTTGATGGATAAATATAGTTGAGTATCAACCGCATAACAGTGGACATTTACAGAATGATTCCTTATAATATTGCCGAATGGAAGCATATATAATGTGAACAAAATAGGTCCAAGCACTGAGCCCTGTGGCACTCCATGGCTCACTTTGGTTTGCATGGAAGATTCATCGTTGACACACACAAACTGAGAGCGTTCAGATAGATAGGACCTAAACCAGCCTAAAGCAGTTCCCTTTATGCCTACTAAGTGCTCTAGTCTTTGCAATAAGATGTCATGGTCGATAGTATCAAATGCAGCACTGAGATCGAGCTCGACAAGAATAGAGACAAGTCCTTTGTCTGAGGCTATTAGAAGGTCATTTGTGACTTTAACCAGAGCTGTCTCTGTGCTATGATGTGTTCTAAAGCCAGACTGAAAATCTTCAAATAAATCATTGTTTTTTAAGTAATCACACAACTGTTTTGCGACTACTTTGTTGAGAGGAACGGAAGATTAGAAATAGGTCTATAATTGGCTGAAACCTCTGGATCGAGGTCGTGCTTTTTAAGAAGAGGTTTTATCACTGCTACTTTGAATGATTGTGGAACACAGCCTGATAATAAAGACATATTCATAATATTTAATAAAGAAGTGCTAACTAATGGAAAAACGTCCTTTAACAGCTTAGTTGGAATCGGGTCTAAGATACACGTTGATGGTTTAGAAGAGAGAATCATTGAATTCAATTGTTCAAGGTTTATGGCTGAAAAGCATTCTAATTTACTATCTAGTGTAATATTAGAACTTACGTTTCCGGGAGCTGTTGATAACACTATACTGGTCAAAGGCAAGAGGTCATTCATTTTGTTTCTAAGAGTAACAATTTTATCATTAAAAAAGCACATCAAATCATTACTACTGAGTGCTATGGGAATAGAAGGCTCAATAGAGCTGTGGCTCTCTGTCAGCCTGGCTACAGTGCTGAAAAGAAATCTTGCATTATTCTTATTCTCATCTGTTAATGAAGAGTAGTAAGCTGCTCTTGCTTTACGCAGTGCTTTCTTATATTCATTGAGAGTAATATGCCAAATTAAACGAGATTCTTCAAGTTTAGTGGAACGCCATATCCTTTCAAGTTGTCTCGACTTTTGCTTTATTTTGCGGGTTTCGGCATTATGCCATGGAGCTCGTCTATGTTGTTTTATTTTCTTCTTTTCAAAGGAGCAACAGAGTCTAATTTTATTCGCAGCGCATCTGTAGCACTATCAACAACATGATCAATTTGGGGTGGTGTACATTTTGTATAAGTTTCCTCCCTTACATACAGACATGCTATCGAGTTAAGTATTGATGGAATCTCTTCTTTAAATGTGGCTATAGCACTAACAGATAGGTTTCTGCTGCAGGAACCTTTGACTAATGGTTTGTAATCTAGTAACAGTACTTCAAAAGTTACTAAAAAATGGTCGGATAAAGCAGGATTATGCGGTTCGACTAATAGTTGCTCAATTTCAATACCATAAGTCAGAACAAGGTCGAGAGTGTGATCATAACAGTGGGTTGGTTTATTCACACTCTGACGGAAACCAACATAATCTAATATAGAGTTAAATGCAACAGTAAGGCTATTTTTATCGTCGTCAACATGAATATTAAAGTCACCTACGATAATGACTTTATCTGTTTTAAGTACCAAGGTTGATAAAAACTCAGAGAATTCTGATAAGAATTCTGAATAAGGACCTGGTGCACGGTACACTGTAACAAATAAGATTGGCTGCAAAGTTTTCCAGGTCGGATGCGTAAGACTAAAAACAAGGCTTTCAAAGGAGGTATAATTTAATTTTGGTTTAGTATTGATAAGTAAACTTGAGTCAAAGATGGCTACAACTCCACCTCCTCGGCCTGTGCCTCGAGGAATATGAGTATTGATATGGCTGGGTGGAGTGGCCTCATTTATGCTGACATATTCTTCATGTCTCAACCAAGTTTCAGTGAGACAGCATATATCAATATTATAATCTGCTATTAAATCATTTACCAATATTGCTTTAGATGCTAGAGATCTTATGTTTAAGAGACCACATTTCATCTTCCTGTTTTGTTGCACGGTAGTAGTTGTTACATTTACTTTTATTAGGTTATTATGTATGACATCTCTATTAGGTTTTACTTTAAATTGTCCTTGGGCAGACACACACACCGTTAATATTGGGTATTTTATTGGAGAGAGCGCAGAGTAGCGTGTAAGACTGCGACTCCGCCTCGATTGTATACCCTGGTGTAGCACTAGTCTCTACTTTAACCACAACACACAATCTAATTCTTATTGTACATCTACTATTATGTAATATGCATTAGGTTTTTTCCCTGCATTAATGATCAAATCATTACAATAACCCCCAGATTTGAAGGTTTAATTTGCTACATTTGATAACGATATATTTATATTTAAAGATCGGTAAAACATTTCTTAATTATTGCTTTAATAACTGATGTATTTGATGTGGATACATTGTTATGCTATAATATAAATAATACATAATATAATAGATAGATGAACTCAGACGATTGCTAACAAACATCAGGTAGGATTTTCTGTGAAATGGCAAGATGGGTGGGAAGGGGGAGGGACGGGGTGGCATGGGAAAGGGATTCCCTATATTTTTTCTGTGTCTTTTCTCTTTCTTTTTGTATTATTGTCTATATAATTTGTATATGTGTATATACGTTTTTCAACAACAAAAAAAAACAAAAAAAAGTTGGTCACAAAAAATAACTGATGTCACTGAAAACATGGGAAAGTTAAAAAACACACACACACACACACACACACACACACACACACACACACACACACACACACACACACACACACACACACACACACACACACACACACACACACACACACACACACACACACACACGCACACACAGGGGGCAGATGAAGATGTTTGTGGGGACAGAGGAAGAAGGGGGTCTAATGTCAATGTTTGTCACGCAGGAGGAGTCAAACAGTGGTGCCAATTGCCCCCGGACCCTCACTGTTTACTTATCTGGAGCCCAGAGAGGCTGTAGACATGCAGCAGCTGCTCGTCCTGCTGTCTTTACAGGACACTGAGGACAGTGGAGGAAAGAGACTGTCTCTGGAGCAGCTGATCAGTAACGCTTCCAAACACAGGCATTAGTTAGAGATGTTGGAGTCTGCTGCATGCTTCTCCACTCTATCGTCAGAAGGGTGTAGGCTACAATACACAATTACATTTGTTTAATTCTGAGTTTTATCTTAATCTGGTGATAATAAAGAGATCCCAAATTATCCCAAATGTGGATAATTGTTTTGTCAAGCAATACACGAGTTACAAATATTTAAAAGATACAATAAGAATCAAATATATAAAAATTAAAATGAGCATTAGCAGCAAGTATACACAAATTCACAATAGAAAGGACATAATAACTAGAGTAACTAAATAATACACAATATAAAGAAAATATTGAAAAAATGAATACAATGTACAATCTCACTAAGCTACAGAGATATATAGAAATATACTATAGACACATATTGGCATTGGATGATATATACATTACAATTGTGCAGAGTGGTGCATATTGGTTATAAGGGGTTATTTGATCAAAAGGCATCCCCACCAGTAGATGGCAGTCAGCACGGCCCCAGCTACTCTATGCACATTTTCTATCTGAATATTCCCAGCTGCTGCTTAACTGTATGATCTGCAGTCTGCCATGTGTCAGAGACATTGAAACATCACTTGAATCCCTTTACTGTAATGAAGTCTCTAAAGTCTGGAAAAGAAATCCATCACCATATCCTACGAGATACTGTATTGTCTCATATCTATATACTATCAGAATCAGAATCAGAAACGGGTTTATTGCCAGGTAGGTTCACACGTACGAGGAATTGGACTTGTCATGGTGCATACATAAACATTTCAAACAAATGTTTTAAAGTACACAGATAGCGAACTATATTAAGAACACTGTAATACAAATATAGTAATATAGCAATAAAATAAAGCAGTAATTTACATCATTCATGTATTCATTTGTAATGTCTAATAGTTGAACATGTATTTTCTTGCTGTTTTGTATATGGCATTTTGATCAAGATGTAGTCATGTCATCAATGAGCAGTTTCTCTATGCTTTTGTTTTGAAGCTTCAGTCACTGGGGGTTTGGGTATTTACTGCAGACAGGTGGAGCAGTGACTGCCCCGGAAAAAAGCATTTGTGTTTTATCAGGGGAGTAGAGGGAGTAAAAGCCATGTTCTTTGTTTGGGTTGATCTTCGAAACCTAAGGAAAATAAACAGAACAAACTCAATTCTTGCCCAAACAATGAACTTCATCCTGCGTAAGATTCCTTATCAGGTCCCTGCTGCAGTTTTGAGTTTGTATTTGTTTTAGGGTTTAGGGACAAATAGCCGCGACAGATAAACAGTATATTGCCCAGCCTTAGTTTGGCCTCTGTCACAGAATTGTGAGAATGAGTTTGCTGTTTTGCTGTAAGACATTATTTTCACATCTTACTGTTTCCTCTGCACTTGATATCATGTTTGAATGAACCGGTTAATGTATGAACTTCAGTATGCATATGTGGAACATTAGTCTAAAATAATTCAATAATCGTCAAAGGTAGCCTATAGAAAGACAGTTTCTTTAAAGATTAGCCAAACTATTTTTTACACTGTCTGTGTGAACTTATTACACTACATTTATACAAAATAATAGTTTCTGTGTGAGAACAACTCCGTCACATCAACAATTATATAATGGTATTGATAACATTTCCAGTGAGACATGTGCATTTTTATTTCATAATCTTTGTTCAGAGAATGATCTTGTTGCTATGGTTATTGATGCTGATATTGCTAACACCATGTAACTTGCATGTTGTTTGAATAATATTTGACATGGACATGAGTATCTAGGTGATAAGGCCGTGTACGACATATACAGAACCATGATTACTGCATGCTATTAGGGTCTGTGATGCTTACTGCTGTGGATGCACAGGAGCCTGTGATGTATTGAACAGTTCTTCCTGTGAAGTGTGTGTGGACTAACCCTGACTGTGTGTGTGTGGTTGAAGGGTTGCAGGACGAGTTCAGTGTGCAGCCCAGTGATGTGGAGGTGGCAGAGGGGGAAGTGGCTGTGTTGAACTGCGCCCCCCCGGTGGGACACCCTGAACCTAATGTGATGTGGAAGAAGGACGGCCTGCGCATCAACAGCACTGATCACCACTACACTGTAAGCACATGTACATGTTGTGTTGAAACCAGAATACTTTTAAATATGAACCTAGTAACATTTCCAATGCTGCACAAGTTTAAACTGAATATGTTAGATTCACAAAGGGATATCTTGTATTGTCACCCTCACTATGCAGGGGGAAAGAGGGGGAAAACAAACAAACACTCCCTCCCTTCATTTTCAATTGTTCATATATCTAACTGCATATATGAAAAATGCCTGTGATTTTGTTTTCTTGAATAATTGTCAAAGGCATACCACTTTGAGACAGTATTTCTAGTTTGTCAATTCTCTGTCAAGTATCATTTTAAACATTTATGCAACGACTCTTGGATGACACAAATACATCAAATTAGAGACTAAATTAAGCTGTGACATAATTAATCTATGAAAACTGGTGATGTCGTATGATAGTTAGAGTGGTGAAGTTATAGTGATTTTTAAAAGTGGACCATGATGTCCAATCAGAAAGTCATAATTAGGGTCTGAGACCCTATAGTAATTGCTCCGAAGCGACAACCCTACACTGATCAGGGAAACGACTGGCGGGAGCACAGAAAAAGGTTCCGAAAAAACCATGCGGCAGATAGGCCTCGTGCGCCTAGTGACGTGGGCTTTGACATGGGGGATTAAAAGTGATCAGAAAGCGTCACTTTTCACCGCACGGCGTAGTAGTTATGCGGCGCCCATTTTCACGTTCGCTCGATGTTAGGAGATCCCTCGCCATGGAACACGATGATGTCATAACTCCAACGGACATACTCAGAATGCCCCCAAACGTCACATGATGGTTAACACTGCTGCCCTGAACAGCTCTACGTCAAACCTGAGGTTACATAATGTGGCGTTGCCATGGCTTAAGGTTAAGATTATATTCCGTTTCCATGGAAACGCATCCCACGCCATAAAACACGATGTTGTTGTAACTCAAAGGAAAATGGTCCAAACATCTCCAGACTTCAGACTATCCTTAACGCTCCGGCCCTGAACAGCTCTATGTCATTTATGGGGTGTCATCATAAACCGTTGCCATGGAAACGCATCCCTCGCCGTAAAACACAATAATGCTATAACTCGTATGAAAATGGTTAAAAAGTGGTCAAACATCACATGTGTGCTACAGTCCAGCCCTGAAGACCTCTACATGTGAGATTTCGTTATATGCCGTTGCCATGGCAACACATCCCTCGCCAAAAAACACGATCTTGCTATAATCCCAGTGAACATGCTCCAAACGGCACAACATTTATCATGTTTGGGTATGATGCAGCCCTCAAGACATCTAAGCGTATTATGGGGTGTCATCATATGCCGTTGCCATGGCGACAGATCACTCACCATCAAACACAATGTTTATGTTACTGCTGTACCTCCCATGTATATTGTCCGATCGGCCTGAAACTTCCAACATTTGCTAACGGCCGAGTCCGGAAAACATCTGCAGGACATTGACGTGCGGACAACAGCGGACCTGTGCGGATCGTCAAAAACCCGCCCCTCGCAGCTTTAAATCATTTTGCATTTGGTTACTTCTTACTATGTTGAAATAACACATTGAATGTCACACTTAAAAGTTGGAAACATGAATAAAACCTAAGTCAAATTAATTTGGTAATATAATAACTATTTTTTACACATCACTCTTTTGACAAAGTGTCCCTAGTTTAGTTGACATGAGTCAGCAGGAGAACATGGCAAAGGGATGACTCAAAACAAAGAAAAAATGTGCAACAGATGATCATTTACAGTTTCTGTTCTGAAATCCTATCTTATATTCTGTGCTGAGAGCCAGACTTCATGTGTGAAGTGCAGTGTGTGATATTGTGTGCCTCCTGTCTGCCCTGCTGTAGGAGCTGAGTGGGAAGCTGATCATCGCTCCTGCAGAGAGGAACCACTCTGGAGCTTATGTGTGTGTGGCCAGAAACACTGCGGGGGTGAGGGAGAGCAGGGCGGCCCGGCTCTCTGTGCTGGGTGAGACAACATGCTCATAACTGTTATTCATGTGCAGTATGGGATGGTGCAGGGAGGACGTAGCTTTGTAGGCCAACCCAGAAGTTAGCATTGCAACCTCTCCTAGACTAAAAGCAATGGGATTTTTGAACTCCAACACACATTTTTTATACTTACAAGTTTTGATAAGCAGGATAATCTCCACATATTAACACAGCTATATGATAGTTGATGCAATCGCCAGTAGTAAAAGTCTAACATTAAACACCGCTAAGCCTAAGGCGGTTAAAGTTGGGCGTGTGGACATTTAGTAGTCTCTATTAGTCATGCTGCATTTTTTTAAACATAGAAGCTGGCGCCGCCTGATACTGTATGTATTTTATGTCATAGAACAAAACCTGAAAATGTAATTAGCTTGTCTTAACCACAGGTCTTATTTTAGGCATCTAACCATAAACTAATTCAATAAAACAATTGATTTTAAGACAAGGAAACAGGAAGTGACTTGTTTCCAGGTGTTGGACTCATCCCTGCACCACTCTATACAGCACAGTATGATTTAATCTCCTCTGTTCTTCTCCAATGCAGCCAAGCCTGTGTTGGTGCTGAGGCCTGGAGACGTGTCAGTGAGGACAGGCCAGTCTGCACAGTTCTACTGCAGGGCTAAAGGGGACCCCCCCCCTTCTGTTGCCTGGAGCAGAGAGCAGGGGCCACTGCCCAACGGAAGGTACCCAGACATACACACTCCATTCATAGAGCCAACTCTACACCTGATCAATATGTTCTAATAAATATGTTTGCATTTATATTACTGCAGTGTGAAGAAATATATTTGTTACGCAGAGCTGACCTCTAGCACTAATAAAGATTTGATAACCATCCTTTAGCTGGAAGAAGTGACCTAATAATTGCTCAAAGATTTGGTAGCAGATTCTTCAAAATGTCCTTCACAATCGTGCTATTTCATGTTGTTACATTATTACAAGTGATTTAGCTGATGCTTTTATCCAAAGCAATTTACATACACATCAATACCGGAGCAATTTTGGGGTTAAGTATGTTGCCCAAGGACGCTTTGACACTTGTTGACTGCAGTGGGTGGGATTGAACCTCTGACCCTCTGATTGGTAGATACATGAAATGACCTAAATCATCTGCAAAAATCTTAAATGTAAGTTATTGTAAAAGAGATGGCAGTAAGCTAATTGCTCTTCTTGTGTGTGCAGGTATCTTATAAACCCAGACCAGACTCTGCAGATCCACTATGTGACAGCTGAGGATGCTGGGAAGTACACCTGCACTGCTGTCAATGATGTGGGGGTGGTCAGTGCCAGCGCACAGCTACTGGTTGAAGGTAAATGATGAGAAATACACTCTGTTATCAGTTTGCCAGCTGACCCAAGGAGTGTGAGTGCTGAGCTTCATTTGTCCACATACCGGAAGATACAGACAGACTGGGGTCTCTTATTTTAGCTACACCTACATCTCTACAAATCGTGTTTAGGTGCAACAAACAGCTTGTAGTTAATAAGGCATTAGGAGTAGAAACACACCTCAGCCATTCCTCTGGCAAGATTCAGGGTAATGATAGTTTCTAACAGATATAGACATTGACAAGAAGATCTGTATACAGAGCACCTTAATAGGTGTTCAAATCATTTAACAGAAGAGCCCCAGCTTGTATGGGACCCTCTAAGAATTCAGTCTTGCAGTAACAGCTGGTTATATTTGTATTCTTCTTATTAAATAAGGGAGCCATATAAACTAATTTTTAGTACGTTTGACTGAAAGATGATCCACATAACCTGCATAAAAGTTACACAAATCTGCTGAAATCTGTGTGCATTATAAAAATAATATACACAGCCTTCATTCTGTTGTATGGAAAATCCCTCCAACAGTTTCATACTGCACATGTACCACTGACACCAAGCTGGAATATAAACTACACTACCGACACTTTTTCCTTGCAGATTATGTGTATGAGTATTTGTTATGTATTATGCCTTATTTAGAATTAACCTGAGAACAAAACGAATAAAATGTTAATATGTTTCGACCCATTAGTTACCAACTACAGAGATACTAACCATCAACTCTGCTTTCAAATGCAATGAGTAATACAAGTCCTGACCTGTGTATCCATTCTTTTAAATAATACAAAAATACCAATAAATAAACCTGTGTTTCCAGATGCTAGCAGCACTACACAGAGAGACCTGCACAAAGAGCTGTCGGCCCTGCGAGTGGCCCTGGAGAACGTCAGCATTGTGGCCCCTGGCTCTAACATATCACAAGTGCAGTGGAAGGTAGAGGCCAGCTAACTCGAAGACTTTCAGAGAGAGCGTGAATATTTCAGGTTTATGATCCATGTTGTGTTTTCTGAGCAGCTGCAGTCCCTCCCCGCCCAGCCTCATTACCTGGACGGCTTTGAGGTTCTGTACCGCTCTCTGCTGCCTGCCAGCTCCGACTGGGCGGCAAACAAAGTGACCGTGCCCAGCTTCCAGGCCCAGGTGGGGCCCTTAAAGAGAGGCTACAAGTACGAGTTCAAAGTGCGTCCCTACGGCAGCAGCTTGTACGGGAGGGAGAGCAACACGCGGCACCTCAGAGTCCCTGAGACAGGTAGGAAATGAACGGATTTAAGAATACCTGTGTCCTTTACAACTCGAATAAAAAGAGAAAAAAAAAAACCTTTGTGACATAATGATAGCAAACCTAAACCGGGTAGGTTTCTAATACTGGGATTTGTTGTCCTCCCGGAATTGACCTCCTGTTGTGTTCGGGTCAAATGTGACAGATCTGCTACTTTCATCAATCATAAACATTTTGTTTTACATTTGATTGCCTCATGATATCCTTCACAGTAGACTGATTGCTGATCAGCATTCTCATTTCATTTTGAGATATCTTCCCGGTCAGAAATAGAATGGGTAACCCTAGAATGTTCATCCATCAGAAAGTACACATCCAAGAACATTTTTATTTTAGAATACATTTTCAGTGTCTCTTCTTTGTATAATCACTGCAGTTACTCATGCAGAGGCTAAGCCAACGCTTTAAGCCTCTGAGGATCTGCTATGTTGGCGTAATTGACGCACACAAAGTTTGCTAGGTGAATAAAAGTTTGATACAAAGTTTCCAGTTAAATACAGTCCATTTATTTCCTGTTCACTGGTGTCCATTTAATTTGCTTCATTTTCTCATTCACCATACACGATATTACGGTTCACACAATACCTTTTGCAAATGTTTGTAATCCCGTGTTTGTGTGTGTTCTCCGTGTGTGGTCCGTGTGTGGTCAAAAACTGTATGGCCTTCCGGTGGAACCTCTAACCACAAACATAGGTTCCTACTTTTATACCCAGTGTTAATTGGCTCCTACAACTCATGTAAACCAGTAGTCTGTTTACAGCTTAAAGGGGTGTTAAATGATGAATGGTTTTTGTTTTAATGTAAGAGCGGTTAAAACAGACCGGTCAAATTTGACCAGGAACACCAAAGAAAGGGGGGAATCGAACTCGACTGGAGGGTTAAATGTGTTGAACTTGAATACACAGTACAGCGTATGGAAGATAACAGTGGACTCGTCCTCCTCTGTATGCAGTGCCCGGGGCCTCTCCAGTGTCTGTGTCCATCACAGTGAGCCATGAGCAAAACAACACCATCCATGTGAGCTGGGAGCCCCCTCCTCATGAAACACACAACGGGATCATCCAGGGGTACCAGGTACACATACACTATATTATTATCAAGGAAACATAATAATCCCCTTCAATATACCAACGTGCTACTCTAATGATGCAAACTGTTTTCCAGGTGTGGTGTGTGGAGTCTGAGGAGCAGCAGAACCACAACTGGACGGTGGACAGTGGTCACCACACTCTTGAAATCTCCACTCTCAAACCAGGGAGACGGTATTGGATCACCATAGCAGCGGTCAACGGAGCTGGAGTAGGAATGCTGAGCGACCCTCATGGGTTTGTCATCAGTGAGTGAAAGGAATATGTATCTGTTCATTTATGAAGGACAGTTTGAGATAAAGTCTGCACTGAAAAACCTGAAACGTTGACATTACTTAAATGTATTATGTCAACAGATTTCACATACATATATTAGGTTAGTTGAAAACAATAATATTACGTTTAAATAAAGGATATTAGGTTCCTACCTAACTTAATACATTTTCCATTTTCACACATTGATGTGTGACATAATACATTGAATTAAAGTGTGTCTACAGTGTGCAGTGTAACCACATTACAGAGGAGAAGTTATCATGACCTCAGATCTGATTATTCTGCTCCTGTTTGTCTCAGACCCACAGATAGAGGCCCCCCCTGGGTCAGACAGCGACAGAGGGGAGCTGTCTGAGGTCCTGGCCCTGCTCCAGGACCCTGTGTTGATCGGCAGCGTCGGCGCCCTCCTGTGGTTCCTCCTGATGGTTGCAGCTGTGTACCTCTTCAAACGCCACAGCAAGACAGGGCAGCTGATCCCAGGACACGGCCGGTTCAAAGGTGTGTTCACACAACTTTCAGATGACAGTTTCTCATCAGCGCTCTGCCCAGTTAAAACGATGTGTCTCCAAATGTGGTGATCTTGATAAGCTGAAGGATGAGGGTTTCCTTTATGTGTTTCTCCTTCTAAATGAAGCCCCTTGGATCAGCTGGAAAATGAATTGAAAGATAAAACAAAGATGTGTTTACAGTATGAGACTTCTGACAGATAGGTGGCTCTTACAGGACAGAGATACAACACTATGATGACCCTATAGAAGTTGATGCATTGCTGTATATTAAATGACCCAACAGTATATAAAGGACTTCAAATGAGCACAACCCTTTGCTGAAAATACTTAAACTAATACACTTTAAATGATCTCTCATTCTGTATGTTTATGTTTTTTTCTTCTTCTTCTTAGGTTTGCACAGGCTGGCCGGTGAAGATCTCATCATAAAACACAGGTACAGAGGAAACATGGTAGAGGGTGGGGAGTATACATTCGTAAAATGTTAAGTGCAAAATGGAATCAGAATGGAATCATTACAATAAATATCAAATCCTGAAATAAATCTGCTTTATGATCAAAGTACAGTAAAACAGTTATCCTAATAGTTTCAGTTCAGATTGGAAGACTACTCATAACTCATTTTACTAGAACGTTATAAATAATGATTAAACTTTGGAATCCTATCCTCCTCCTGCTTCCTCTACAGGATGGCAGCCCCTGACTCCCCCTGGATCTCTGGAGGCTGGAGACCTGCCTTCAGCCAGAAGTACCAGGACCTGTGGGCCCAGGGTCAGAAACATCCAGGCATCAGGGGCGCCAGTGAGTATTCATGGGTACACATGAAGAGTGTTGAAACCTTTAGACCTGTCCTATCATACATGATGAACTGCTCGGCATGCTAGTCTGTCCAGCTGAGGTAAGAGAAACTCTGCTGCAAACCAACCCTAACCATAACCAGAGTGATATTGTCTGAATAAGACACAGAACATAAAGCAAGGAAAGGAGTGTAACCAACTGTGGATTTAGCAGGAGTCGACAAGAGAAGGAGAGAGCTGCACTATATAGACAAAACCCTGGAATTGTTATTTAAGGCACAAACTGAAACATCTTCAAATGAATGGCACAATCTCTTTTTCTACAGGTGAACAAGTTCAGTCATTTATAAACTGCTAACAAGCAGTTTATAAATGATGTGTATGTGGTACTGTGGCAGTCACTTTCATTGTTTCAGAGTAATTAGAAGCTATTTTCTTCACACTCAGCTCACTTATGTATACAGTATGTGCTTGAGCAGTACTAACATGTGATTAGATATACAACAGGTTGCTGCTGGGATAAATCATTGAATTGTTGCTGAATTAAATAAGTGAACTGTTCAATTGTCTGCTGTTAAAAAAATCAATAATAATAATCTGCCGATCTGTGGTAGCAACATAAAGCCTATATTTACAAGATTCTTTGGTCACCATGGTTACACTTATTCATATCAGCATGTGAGTGTGTTGAGATTGTGTGTAGTTAACTAAAGTGGTTACTCTTTATAGTAACTATATTCTGCTAATGCACACAATGCCAACTTCTAACAGTGTGTTCATGTTTATGATGTCCAGCTCCTGTCTTTACTCATAACTCTTAAAAGAACATGTTTCTTGTTAATCCTATTGTTCCAGTAATACACTCCATGACTCTCAAGCTGTTGATGTCCTTGTAAAGCAGATGATGCAGGATGACATCCTCATAGCTGTCATTAGGTCACCTGTCAGTCCATATTACTCATTTCTCTGCATTTGTTAGTAATAAGCTATTGTGGACACAGAACCAGAACAAAGGATATGAGTGTGTATCCAAATGAACTAGAGACATTAAAGACACAATGAGACTATCGACCTCTCACTATTTCAGCCTCTCTGATAAATATGCTGCTGAATGTTTGGACGTATTCATTTGTGTTTCTTTAGGCCTGCCAGTCTCCTGGAAGGACCCCCGCTGCATGGACTCAGCGGTCCCCATCGTGACGGACAGCTGTGGCGTTTACGGCACTTTCTACGTGGACCTGATGGGAAATGGTCTGAAGACCTTCAACAGTCCTGGGAGCCGCCCTAAGGCTCCTCACGGTGTCCCCCTTCAGCAGGGGGAGACCATCCAGATCTTCTCTCAGCCCCTCGCAAAGAGCGCGTCCCTGGGGAGCCGCGAGGCGTTGTCATGGAAACAGGCTATACGCCCCCAGCCCAGGATGGGGGTGCTGAGGGAAAAAACCCACAGCAAGCAAGGTGCATAGTTGAGATTGTGATGTTAACACCACAACTATATTTGTTCTTCCTTTCATTGTCCCTCTTTGTGTTTCTCTGCACACGTTGTCTTCTGAGTGTTGTAAATGATGAAAGCTGAAATGCGTCTGTGATTTCCTTGTTGACCCCAGAGCTGCATGCAGTGAACAGCGCCCCCCTGGCGCCCAGCAGGAGCCAGGCCTGCCCCTCCAGTGTGTTCAGACAGAGACTCAGTCACATCCCAGCAGCCCGGCACGGTACCACAGAACACAGTTTATAGCAGTCCTTACTCCAGCATCTTTGTGAATTTGTGATCTTGATTTTGTATTTATAATTAAGTTAGAACGTGTACTTTAACACCATTTGATTTTAGTAGTTGAATTATTGGCGACTGGTTATAAGTAGGCATATGTTGTTTTGTTCTAACTTGTTTTTGTCCAGGGGGGCATCCAGAGTGGGATAAAGCTGCTGGCTGTCCTCGACTGCTGCATTACTCTGCATCCTTACACCTGATGGACATGCTGCCCCCCCCACCACCAATGCCACTAGAGGACACCATGGACTCACACAGCCTCAGCTCAGATGAAGGGTAAGAGACTCACACAGCACAGGCGGAGGGGCGGGGGGGAAAGAGACATTTCTGATGCATCTGTAATCCTCTAGCAGCCACAGGTGTCATCATGCTGGTCCCAAAGAGCAGGAGTGTGATAGGAGGATACAGTCATCAGGGAAATCTGATTGGTCATTGTTGCATTCAAAAACAGTTGCCATATACAGTAAAGTTATAAAGAAAGAGCTGTCTGCCATGTTTAAAACAAGTCTGGGGTCTCCATGCCTTATTGGTCAGAGATGACCTCAACGTCCTTCCTTACAGTATGTTTCTTTGTTTCCTTTTAGTGGCCCAAGAATTGACCTCACTTTAGTGGGAACACACAATATGGACAAAAAGCAAGTAAGAAAAGAGACTGGAGGTAGATGACCGAGAGCCTAATGTTTATTAGAGCTAACGGAGGAAATGAGAAATGCCAAGCATAGGATGTGAGGAAGTCTAAATATACAAGAATAGTTGAGGAACAATCAGTTCCGTAGGTTTTTGTGCTTACGTAACATAGTGACATCACTACGTAACAATTGAACTGCTTTTGGTTAGTGCTCTAACACATTGTCTATGATATTCTAAGGGGGCGAGACATCTCTAAGTGGTTGACCAATCACAACAGGGCTGGCCAGGGTGAAAAGAGGTGCTGCAGCACAGGCAGTATGAGAAAGATTAAGAGCTTTTTGAACATTAAAGCATGGAGACATGTCCCAGTAGGGACGTTAATAGGCCCAACATCATGAGTCCAACACGTACAGAGCACCATGAGTCCAACCCGTACAGAGCATCATGAGTCCAACACGTACAGAGCATCATGAGTCCAACACGTACAGAGCATCATGAGTCCAACACGTACAGAGCATCACGAGTCCAACCCGTACAGAGCATCACGAGTCCAACCCGTACAGAGCATCACGAGTCCAACCCGTACAGAGCATCACGAGTCCAACCCGTACAGAGCATCATGAGTCCAACCCGTACAGAGCATCACGAGTCCAACCCGTACAGAGCATCACGAGTCCAACCCGTACAGAGCATCACGAGTCCAACCCGTACAGAGCATCACGAGTCCAACCCGTACAGAGCATCACGAGTCCAACCCGTACAGAGCATCACGAGTCCAACCCGTACAGAGCATCATGAGTCCAACACGTACAGAGCATCAAGAGTCCAACCCGTACAGAGCATCACGAGTCCAACCCGTACAGAGCATCACGAGTCCAACCCGTACAGAGCATCACGAGTCCAACCCGTACAGAGCATCACGAGTCCAACCCGTACAGAGCATCACGAGTCCAACCCGTACAGAGCATCACGAGTCCAACCCGTACAGAGCATCACGAGTCCAACCCGTACAGAGCATCACGAGTCCAACCCGTACAGAGCATCACGAGTCCAACCCGTACAGAGCATCACGAGTCCAACCCGTACAGAGCATCACGAGTCCAACCCGTACAGAGCATCACGAGTCCAACACGTACAGAGCATCATGAGTCCAACCCGTACAGAGCATCATGAGTCCAACCCGTACAGAGCATCATGAGTCCAACCCGTACAGAGCATCACGAGTCCAACCCGTACAGAGCATCATGAGTCCAACCCGTACAGAGCAGATGGAACCTGGTCTCGTTTGGTGCTGCTGAGCAAACTGGTACTCTTTGTGATGTTTGACTGTTTCCTATTATATGTGTATTCCTTGTTGAACAGGGCAAGTGATCCCTGTTTCTACACAGTTCAGTGTGTTATTTATGTTCTTCACAAAATGACCTGACTTATCCTCTCAGTCAGTAAGGAAAGATTACTGGGAGCTGCTTCAAGTTTTATTTTATTTTTAACTTTTAAGGAAAGTATTTAGATTTTTGAATTGCACCTAACTCCTGTGTGTATGATCTCCAGCTCCAGTCGTTCTACGAAGCTATCAGTGGACATGGGCTCTCTCCAGTCAGTGTGTGATGCGTCCTGCCGCTGTGGGCAGCCCCCCCCCACCAACAACAGCTGCCCCTCCTACAGCCACCTGTCTACTGCATCATACTCCAGGTCAATGGATGAGGAGCAGGGGGGCACGCTGACAGCAGAGGAGGCTACACAGTATCTGGAGCTCAGCCCCAAACCTGAGAGGAGCAGGTAGATAACAGCTCGCTGACCCCAGCACATGATCATACAAATCATATTATTTAGGCGAGGAACGTTTATTAATATAGCACCTGTCAACATAAGGCCATCCAAAGTGCTTTACAAATATCAAAACATTCAGAGCAGAAATAGTACTGCGGAATCATTTAAAAACAGTCATTAAAAAGCAAACCCCCCCCTGTCAACAGTGCTCTACCTCAGCAGCGTCCCTCTCTGTCGAACCCCTTCTCCCCCACCCTGAGCTACATCTATGAGCGTGTCCACTCCCCTCAGATGGAGGAGGACCCCCCCACCCATGAGCCAGAGGTCCCAACGATGGGCCTGCGCCGCGCCCGCCTGCAGAGCCCCCCCCCCTCCTCCTGCTGCAGCGAGGGGGACGGCTCCCTGTGGAACACCTGGAGCTCGGTGACGGGCAGCAGCCTGGCCAGCGCCCGCAGCAGCTTCATCAGCTCTGTGGACAGCTGCTGCACCGAGGACAGCGCCACCTTCAGACGCCTGCTGGCCGCTGCAGCCGGGAGCATGGGCGGAACCTCGCTGTCAGGTGAGCCCTGACGGGGGGAAACACTCTGAACACTGACCGATCATCACACACACACCGCTTCCTCAACAAGCTCTACTCAGCAGGAGAACCAGGTGTGATTGTTTCCATGTTGACAGCAGAGCAGCACATGTGAGCCACTCAGTGTGGCTCATTGTTTATCAGAATCAGAATCGAGTTTATTGTCAAGAGGGTTTACACATACAAGGAATTAGCTTTGGTGTATGGTGGTGCAAACATAAACAACATAAGAGAATACGTTGTAAGAGAAGGAAAACAAATATAACAATTATAAAAAGAAAATATTTGTAAAAAACGATTTAGCATTAAAAAAGTAAAAGACAAGTATTTAGACCAAATTTAAATATAAAAAGTAGTTCAATGAATATATGACAAACTACAGTGTGTTTTATTTTAAAGTGGAGGGTTGTGCAAAAACATATTCAGAGAGATGAACATGAACATGGCTCACAGTATTAAAAAACTAAAAAAGGAAAGGCCTGTAGTGGAAAGTACATCTCTCCACTAGATGGAGTCCTCTGTCAGTCTGTGCCTGATTGGAGCTGCAGGCCAAACAGAGGCGGCCAGCACACCTGTCAAACTGAACCATGGAACTCAAGACATGTGTTTGTTTTAAGAGTATTTTGAAGTTTAACATTAAAATGACTGTAAAGGAGAAAAACACATTTTGGAGGTTAATAAGAGAGAGAGTACATGTCACTGTTCGTCAGTGTGTGTGCATGTGTCTGTTGCTGTTAGAAACAAAGACATGAAGTCTAATATCTGAGATGTCACCAGGCAATTACTTAGCTGCTTTCATTCAATCACATCTCAGGATGAGTCAACTCGCCCCCCCATGACACCTCATCAGTCACTCTGCTCTCCATCTGCAGGCAGCCTCACTCTCTATTGGCTGATTTCTGTTGTGAATATTTTCCACAGATTCAGATAAGAGGAAACTACACTAGCTTCCCCAGAGCTGTGGTCATTGTTCATCTTCAGAATGTGGAGAACATAAGCATCAAATCAAGAATGAAGTCATCCATCCATGTGACTACATGTTTAGTGTCACATGGAGACTTAAAAGGCCATAATTTTTGTCCCTCAGGATCTTTCTGGTCGTATTCTTATTGAATACAGGTTACTTGTTCAGGAATAGAATATATTCAGCTTTACATCTACCATTTAAGTATCCACTCGAGTTAAATGATACTTATGTAAAGACCCCGTTTCAAGGATAAGCAGAGTGTGGACTAAGCATGTGAAAAGAGGGGAGCAGCAGGAGCAGGCCTTTTTCAGATTAGATTACTCACATGAAACACTTCAGCTTAGAATAGCTGTTATTATTCCCAGACAGCTATCTTTTTGAAGGTCTTTGAAATATCAGAATGCCTTCAGAATGCAGAATATGGCTGTTGTGAAAGGCAATGGTGGCTTTGTTGCCTTAAACATTTTGGAGTAGCTTTATTTCCAGTGACTGACAGCTGGTTTAAATAAGCTGTATTCCTCAGAGAATCAGCGTGACACAAGGTGCTGCTCTGAGTCTAGGGGCTTTCTGTATTAATATAACCCCTCCACTCCATATTGAAATGCTTGTCAACATGTGCTCCTCTCCTGTGTTCAGACTTCTCCCCGCCGGCCTCTCCCCTCAGCGCCGTGTACCCGTCGTTCTGTGAGGGCGACTCGGCGGAGCTGGAGCCGGTCCCTGCGTGGGAGTGGAACCTGGCCTGGGTGGAGGAGATGGAGGCTCAGTACAGAGCTCACTATCCTGCCAGGAGCTCCAAACCCTTTGACACTTAGGCATCAGAGGAAAAGATGTGACATGACTGCATTTTGAGAACTTCACAAACACCTCACAGCGATGCCAGAACAGCAAGACAAGAAGAAGGGACGGATGATCTTCATTTATTTATCTGAGAGGGCTGGAATTGAAAGGTTGAAATACTTCAGGGTTTGATAGCGTTCTCCCTGTCAATAAAAGTTACATGTCTGGATTTCAAATATAATTGGAGCAAACTCCTTGATGTTTGAGATGCTTCTGTTTGTCTGTAATAGTTTTACCTCAGGGCAGTCCGACTACTGTTTGCATCCTCCAAAGGACTTCCATTGAGGCTCGAAAGTTTTCTTTCCGCTCATTAGAGGATAATGAGACACTTCCCCTGGGCTCTTCTCACCCAGTGTGTTTGAAAAGGCCAGAGACACAGAGACAGGATGGAGACGGAGAATCCAGTCATTAGCAGCGTTGCACACTTCCTCACACACATGTTTGTTTCTTATTTTCCTCCAAGATTTCATTTGGGCTGGAGTCCTACCAAATGATCACTTCTGTATATTCAGCATATTCAACAAATGTTATTCAAAGAACTTAATCACATTCCAAATCCTGTTGTCTCTTACAGTTTATTACATTCTGGGAATCCTTTTACAGTATATTTGAAGATTGTTTTTTACTTTATACGCTCTGTCCTTTTTTTATTTTACAAAAAGTTTGTATAATACAAAACATGATGTAGTTCAGGATAGCAGAAGTAGCTAAAGTTATTTGTAAAAATGGTTCAAAATGAATTGAACTAACTTGAACTACTTTGAATCTGACTTTAGGAAGCATTCCACAGTGTGCTTGATGATATAAAGACTTTGATGCATGGCCGTAGATTTATTGGAGGCATTTATTTTGTTCTCATAACAAATGTGTTTATTATTATTATTTTTGAAAAACATGTTAGAATTGATTGATATCAAGTTTTATATTTTGAAAAAAATGAGCTATGTTACATGTAATGTTTCAGTGAGCTGCAACCTGTGACATTGATACTGTCTCTTATGTTATTATTTTATTGTTATTAAAAACACCCTCGTATACACATCAAATGTTAGTGGGACATTCTATCTAGAAACTCCTCCATACAGGAAGTGTTCACAGTTTCTCACAGGGACACGTTGACATTTCAGTGCTTCACTGGTTCAGCGTGTGAGTGGGGGGGGCTTCCTCAGTGACCGTCGCCCCCCTGCTGTTTCTAATGGCTGTAACAGGAAGGTGATGTTTATAACTCATCTGTTTGGCTTGAGTAACCAACACCAACAATGCTGCTGCAGCTGATAATTACAAACCCGTTGAAGAGAATAATTAACACTAAATGTCTGTGTTTGTTCAGGAAGGTGTGATTTTTTACTTTGAAATGTTAAAAATTATGTTTTTCCTTAAAGTGGACCTATCATGCTATATTTGAATAATATAGTGTAGGACCATACATATACATATAAGGCATATTTATACTTTCAAAATACCAAACAGGTCATGCATTTTAGCCATGCCTCATTTTGCTCAATTTGCACTTTTTTAGCCCTGTTTTTGCAAGGGCTGATTCAGTGAGAACAGCACCACCTACAGGCCTGGCATATGTACTACAGCGTCTCCAGCGCTTTCAAACGGCAATAGCCGTGGCTGTCTCCTCCTGATTGGTGGAGTTGGCCCAATAGCCGTAGCGCCACTGTCCTGACGTCAGGACAGTGTTCAAATCTGGATCAGTTTTGATCAGATCTGTTGCAGCCCCTTTTTTAGAGATTTGGGTATGGAGGAAAATAGAGAGGGTTGTGTTTTCTGACACTTGGTGAGTTCCCTGGAACACCGGGAACACATATTCATGTATAAAAGACGTACAAAAGTGCATTTTGCATGATAGGTCCCCTTTAAAAAACCCTGGGATTGAATGTAGCCTAGTTTATTCTGTTTAAAGCAGATTATTTGCACACGCTTCAGTCAGTCAAACCTCACAGGAGTTGTATGAGTATTAGGGAGGAAGAGCTTTGCAGACTGATACATATTTTAATATGTATGTCAGATAATATGATTTACTCAATGACTTTGTGTGCAGCTGCAAAGCACGACATGCATTTTGAAGTAATCCATGGCCTGTATCTGGGCTGTGGGTCAAATGAGACTGTTCAGCTAAGAAGTGCTTTGCTGTCTGTTTCAGTGATAAGCTGCTCAGGAACAGCCATATTACAAGTTATATTTGAGGTATTAAAAACAGCCCAAGTTAACAAACACATAGGAACGAGTCTCAGGGTTCATTTGATATTTTCTTCTCAGAAGAGGGACAGGCTTTTTCTGCTTCAAAAATATGCAATAATTAAGATTTTTTTCACGTCTTTACTCTCTGAGAATTTCATTTAGAAGATTAATCAGACTGCTTCTCTCGCAGTTATTTTCAGATGAAGTCAAGCAGACCTGCAAATAGTAGTCAAAGCAGGCTAAAATGATGAATAATAAAAACAGTGCTTTGTTAAACCCAGGAATCAAGCTTTAAACTCTGCTCATTTATCTGAAGGAGCCATATTTACCCTATATGCAACGCAGCAAGTAGTGGATTACATGTTTGTGTGTGTGTGTGTGTGTGTGTGTGTGTGTGTGTGTGTGTGTGTGTGTGTGTGTGTGTGTGTGTTCTGGACTGCCAGAGAGATTATCCTTCATCTGTCTCCTTCACTAAAGGCCATATGTTTCTACATGAAGCCCCCGGCTCCTCTGAACAGACACACACACACACACACACACACACACACACACACACACACACACACACACACACACACACACACACACAAACACACACACACACACAAAACACTGATAGACGTGACCACACGCTATGAGGCTCACACAGTAATGAATCAGGCACTACTGTACTGTCTGCTTGTCTTATTAGGTTATATACACACACACATACACATACACACTTGCTGTGTAATTGGCAAATTAAAAAGTGAGATGTGTTAAATGCATCCATAAGAGACGGCATACATCATCCCCATCTCACGCAGACACCAGTGGGTTTATACACACACACACACACACACACACACACACACACACACACACACACACACACACACACACACACACACACACACACACACACACACACACACACACACACACACACACACACACACACACACACACACACACACACACACACACACACACACACACACACGCTATACCCTTGGGGTTTGTGCATCACAGATTTTGGTGTATGCCAAAATACCAGCTGTATATAGCATGTCAGCTAACCAATGACCCATATTAGACATGGCCTGAAACCAATACACACACACACACACACACACACACACACACACACACACACACACACACACACACACACACACACACACACACACACACACACACACACACACACACACGTCACTGGATGTCTTCCCTAAAGTCTGTTCTTTTATTAAATGAATAGATACCTTCTAAGACCAGATATAATTAATGTGCAGCATTGTGTGAGCAACTAGCAGGATTTCTAGCTTAATTAGTCTTAAATCATGCATGATCCTCAAAATAGACCCTTTATATAACGTGAAAGTTGTTAGTGGTAAATCTTTCAGCAGTTTGCCAAGATGAGGTTTGTTTTCAACCTGCAATAGGGTTCTACAGGGAAGCAAATAGAATATAAGAGCACAAACAGAAACAACATGAGGAGAAAATAGATATAATCCAACAAGCAGCACCCCCCCAGGGATTACGGCAAACAGTCAATGTCTGTGTTTTAAACTCATCCCGACTCTCCTGCAGACAGCAGAGGCCTGTACTACGAAGCCGGATGTTTTCTTAGCGAGCTAACTTCAGGGAAAACTCTGGGTTTCCGGTCCTACGATGCTGGTTCTCTTTTTACCGGGCTAGATCTCCATGGTAACTTATGCTGAACGGCTAGCCTGGTCCGGAGCAGGTTAGGTTCCAGGATAAGAGATCAACTCAGTGAAAGCACCGCCTGCTGACCAATCAGAGCTCCGTGTGCGGAGTTTAAAGCTATCAAGTCATATTACAGGATAGAGGAAATACAGAAAAACTGCAGTTGCAGGAAAGACGGCCGGCAAAAATCAACTGACTGTGTGAACGTGAACATTAATAGAATATCCCCTCCTTACATTGCATTTAGCTGACGCTTTTATCCAAAGCAACTTACAATAAGTGCATTCGACCAAGAAGATACAAACTTGAAGAAAACAGAATCATATAAGTACATCAGGTTTCATAGAGCCAAAACATTTCAAGTGCTACTCAACTAGCTTTAGATAAACCAGTCCTTTATTAGTATATAAGTGCTTTGTTAGGAATTGTATTGCTCGAAGCGGAGTCGAAAGAGATGAGTTTTCAGTCTGCGCCGGAAGATGTGTAAGCTTTCTGCTGTCCTGATGTCAATGGGCAGCTCATTCCACCATTTTGGAGCCAGGATAGCAAACCCACGTGTTTTTGCATTCACGGCATGGTACACTAGTACCAGTGTCTTGAAGTGGATTCTAGCAGTTACAGGAAGCCAGTGAGGGAGCGGAGGAGCGGTGTGGTGTGGGAACATTTAGGAAGGTTGAAGACCAGACGAGCCGCTGCATTCTGGATGAGCTGCAGAGGTCGGATGGCACATGCAGGTAGACCAGCCAGGAGGGAGTTGCAGTAGTCTAGGCGTGAGATGACGAGAGCCTGGACCAGAACCTGCGTGGCTTTCTGGGTCAGGAGGGGACGTATCCTCCTGATGTTGTAAAGAGTGTATCTGCAGCAGCGGGTTGTAGCAGCGATGTTTGCAGTGAAGGACAGTTTGTTATCTAGGGTCACATTCAGATTCCTTGCAGTCTGAGTCGGGGAAACAACAGAGGGGCCGATGTTGATTGTTAGGTCAAGAGTGGGACACTCTTTTCCAGGAAGAAAAAGCAGTTCAGTCTTGTCAAGGTTGAGCTTGAGGTGGTGAGCAGACATCCACTGAGAGATGTCTGCTAGACAAGCAGAGATGCGTGCGACGACCTGGGTCTCTGAGCGGGGAAAAGACAGAATTAATTGGGTGTCGTCAGCGTAGCAGTGGTATGAAAAACCATGCGGGCTAATGACTGATCCGAGCGAGTTTGTGTACAGAGAGAAGAGGAGGGGACCGAGGACAGAGCCCTGAGGGACCCCTGTAGTTAATTGACAAGGGTCGGACTCGGACCCTCTCCAAGTTACCCTGTAGGTGCGGTCTTTGAGGTATGAGGTGAGGAGGGAAAGTGCAGAGCCTGAAACTCCAAGTTCTTGGAGAGTGTGAAGGAGGATCTGATGGTTCACCTTGTTGAATGCAGCAGACAGATCCAAAAGGATGATGACAGAGGAGAGGGAGGCTGTCAGAGCAATCTGACTATTATAACATTAGCGTTAATAAAGCTTACTTAAATATCTGCAACAACATAAGTAACCGGATCAGAGTAACATTACGTACAGTGAGTACGTAACTGTGAGTGCAGACGTCGATGTGTCCAATTATCATTCATATCATATCACATCATAATGTATCATATATTTCCTTATCTGAGTCAGCTTCTTGAGCCGTATCTGGCCGTGCAACACTCACAGTGTCACATACTGTATGCAGAAGTATTATTTTAAGCAACACATTAAGTTGACGAAACACTCGAGTCAAATGTAATTAAAGTCAGATCCACTCGTGTCTTAGACGGGGCAGTGATATCATAAACCTGTTAATGTACGCATTCAAACACTTTTTCTTTTACCAGCTGTATTCACCTTGCAGGTGCAGCTATGTGGCTTTGATCCTGGATAAAGTGTTTAAGTCATGGATGTTTAAAGTTTAACTTCTTCATATTTGTCTAATATTATAGTTGACTTTTCATTCAGGAAGTATGACGCTGCGCTGTCAGTACGCTTCTCCATGTTTGTGATTGGTCAAATGTTGCTAACCCCGCCACTTAAACACGAGTGGATCTGACTTTAATTACATTTGACTCGAGTGTTTCGTCAACTTAATGTGTTGCTTAAAATAATACTTCTGCATACAGTATGTGACACTGTGAGTGTTGCACAGCCAGATACGGCTCAA